CCCTTTAGGCACTGGAAGGGGCTCTAAGGTCTCCCTGGAGCCTTCTCTTCTCCAGGCTGAACCCCCCAACTCTCCCAGCCTGTCCTCCCAGCAGAGGGGCTCCAGCCCTCACAGCATCTTGATGGCCTCCTCCGGCCCTGCTCCAACAGCTCCGTGTCCTTCTGCTGGTGGGACCCCCCGAGCTGGAGGCAGCACTGCAGGGGGGTCTCCCCAGAGCAGAGCACAGCAGAGGGGCACAATCCCCCCCTCGCCCTGCTGGCCGCACTTCTTCTGATGCAGCCCGGGATGCGCGTGGCTTTCTGGGCTGCGATCGCACATCACCGGCTCATGTTGAGCTTCTCACCCACCAACACCCCCAGGTCCTTCTCCTCAGCGCTGCTCTCCAGCCATTCCCCGCCCAGCCTGGAGTTGTGCATGGGATTGCCCCCACCCACATGCAAGACCTTGCACTTGGCCTGGTTGAACTTCCTGAGGTTTGCACAGGCCCACCTCTCCAGCCTGTCCAGGTCCCTCTGGATGGCATCACTTCCCCTCCAGCAGGTTGGCTGCACCTCACAGCTTGGTGTCATCAGCAAACTTGCTGAGGGTGCACTCAGTCCCACCATCCATGTCGCCGACAAAGATGTTAAATAGTACCAGTCCCAGTGCTGACCTCTGAGGAACACCACTGCTCACTGGTCACCGCTTGGACATGGTGGCAGCTTTACTGGGTTATTGCTGGCTTACTATTGGGTCACTGTTTGCCTCCTATGAGGCTGCTGGTGAGATACAACTGGGAGACTCTCAGTAGCCTTGTGAGGGAGTAGTGAGGTATGATCAAAATGCAGCAGAGATGCTCTCAAGGTCCTACCAGGATGGTACGGAGATGCTCTCAGGGGTTTACTAAAACGCTGCTGGGGTACTCTGCACCAAAGCCCGCTCAGGGTGGCACTCGGATGCTGTCAGGATAGTGTCTGGATGCTACTGGGATACTACGAGAGCGCTACTGAGGTACCATCAGGGCACTACCTGGATGCTGTCAGGACACTACTAAGATACTTCCAGCATCGTTCCAGGGTTGGTACGGAGATGCTGTTATGAAGGTACCACCGGGGCAGTGCTAACACACCATCAGGGTACTCACGGGTTACTACAACGGATGCGGTTCAGATGCTTTTGGGATGGGAACATGGCACTAACGCAATACCTGGATGTTTCATCGCGCTACCGAGGTACTATCAGGGCACTGCTACGACAGTAGTAGCGTACAACACTGTTAGCTTCTTGTCAGGACACTACCGTGACACTGTCAGGGCGCTGTTAGGATAACACTAGGATGCTACTGGTGTAGTATCGGGCTACGACTACTTGGGCCAGTCCACCACGAGGGCAGCGCTGAGCTGTTCGGAAGCTGCTACCAGCAGTGTAGCACAAAGGGACTACCAGGACACTGCTAAGACGTTATCAGGATACAGCCTGGATACTCCGGAGATACCACTGAGATAATTCCACAGTACCATCGAGGCACTCCTAAGATGGCCATTACTGGGAAACTACTAAGATAGTATCAGGATATTATCACAACGCTGCTCAGGTGCTGTCGGGACAGTACTCGTTTCTCAGTAGGACGCTGTCAGGATGCTCGTAGCATACCAGTAGGATTCTTCTGAGATGCTACAAGGGCACTAGAAAAGATCGTGGTGAGATACTTCTGCGCTACTATCAGGGCAACACTCGGACTTTTGGGATACTGTCAGCACGTTACCAGTATGATATTTTCAGACCACAACTAAGATATAGTATACGGATACTACTAAGATACTACCAGTTCAGGAAAAAAGTTACTGTTATGATACTTTTTATATACTATCAGGGTACCACTAAGGTACTTCTGGGCCACTATCAACACTTTCTTGCTACTAGTGAAGTACTACCAGTATAGTGTCGGGATATTTGGCTGCATCATCGGAAGCGTGGCCAGCAGGTCAAAGGAGGTAACTCTGCCCCTCTGCTCCACTCTGGTGAGACCCCACCTGGAGTACCGCATCCAGCTCTGGAGTCCCCAACATAAGAAGGACATGGACCTGCTGGAGCACATCCAGAGGAGGGCCACGAGGATGATCCGAGGGCTGGAGCACCTCTGCTGTGAGGAGAGGCTGAGAGAGTTGGGGGTGTTCAGCCTGGAGAAGAGAAGGCTCCGGGGAGATCTTATTGCGGCCTTCCACTACCTAAAGGGGACCTACAGGAGAGCTGGGGAGGGACTTTTCAGTAGGGCATGTAGTGACAGGACGAGGGGGAATGGCTTCAAACTGGGAGAGGGCAGGTTTAGATTAAACATTAGGAAGAAGTTGTTCCCTTTGCGGGTGGTGAGACACTGGAACAGGTTGCCCAGAGAGGTTGTTGAGGCCCCATCCCTGGAGGTGTTCAAGGCCAGGTTGGACGTGGCCTTGGGCAACCTGGTCTGGTGGGAGGTGTCCCTGCCCATGGCAGGGGGGGTGGAACTTGATGATCCTCAAGGTCCTTTCCAACCCTAACCATTCTATGATTCTGTGCTTCTATATCAGCATATTTTTATGAAGACAGTCCTAAGATGCTGTTGGGGTGCTACCAGGGTACTACAGAGACACTGTTGGTGGTGTAAAAGCCCTGGTGGTGTAAGCTGTGAGTAGCGCGGTGCCTCACGGGCACCCTCTCCCCGCAGCTAAGGCGGCACATCGGCGTTGAGGAGGATGGAGGCGCCCCTGGTAAGCCTGGAGGAGGAGTTCGAGGAGGGGCCCGGGGACGATGGGGGGACCCCCTTACGTACTGCAGACCCGGCGCTGGCCGAGCTGGAGAGCTTCTCGGCCGAGATGATGAGCTTCAAGTCGATGGAGGACCTGGTGCAGGAGTTCGACGAGAAGCTCACCGTCTGCTTCCGCAACTACGACGCTGCCACTGAAGGTCTGGCCCCCGTGCGGGGGCATCTCCAGGCGCAGGAGGAGGAGGAGCGCCTCCAGGATGAGGAGTGAGTAAGGCCCCCCCTGGTCCTGAGGACACGTGCTTCCTCGCACACCTGTGAAATCCACACCCCCCCTCAACGCAAACGGGCTCCCGGCATGGCGGCACGGTCATGCACCATGTCAGGAAGAGCGCTGTAGTATCCTATGAGTATGGACTCCATCGGGGTCTGCATGTCGCACGCTAGCGAGGTCCACCCCACATGCAACTCGGCCCCCTGTGTCGCGGCATGGTCGTGCAGCAGTGCGGAGTAGCTGTGTAGGATCCTATGAGTAGCTATATAGGATCCTATGAGTAGGCCACCCTTGGGCCCGCATGTCCACTTGCATGGTCACGACATACACCCCGTCCCGTGGCATGCAGACCAGTCCTACCCCATTGCAGCCTGGTTGAGTAGCACATCACAGTAGCAGTGTAGTATCCTATGAGTAACGTCCCTCTGGGGCCAGCTGGACCTCTTTGCATGCTTGCAAGATCTACACCACATGCAGATCAGCTCCTTGTGCTGTGGCGTGATCATGCAGGACCTTGGAGCAGCTGTGTGGAAACCTTGGAGTAGCAGTGTAGGATCCTTGGAGTAGCTGTGTGGAAACCTTGGAGTAGCAGTGTGGGATCCTTGGAGTAGCTGTGTGGGGTCCTTGGAGTAACTGTGTGGGAACCTTGGAGTAGCTGTGTGGGATCCTTGGAGTAGCTCTGTAGGATCCTTGGAGTAGCAGCGTAGGTTCCTTGGAGTAGCTGTGTAGCATCCTTGTAGTAGCTGTGTGGGTTTCTTGGAGTAGCAGTGTAGGATCCTTGGAGTAGCTGTGTAGGTTCCTTGGAGTGGCTGTGTGGGAACCTTGGAGTAGCTGTGTGGGAACCTTGGAGTAGCAGTGTAGGTTCCTTGAAGTAGCTGTGTGGGGTCCTTGGAGTAACTGTGTGGGAACCTTGGAGTAGCTGTGTGGGAACCTTGGAGTAGCAGTGTAGGTTCCTTGAAGTAGCTGTGTGGGGTCCTTGGAGTAACTGTGTGGGAACCTTGGAGTAGCTGTGTGGGAACCTTGGAGTAGCAGTGTAGGTTCCTTGAAGTAGCTGTGTGGGGTCCTTGGAGTAACTGTGTGGGAACCTTGGAGTAGCTGTGTGGGAACCTTGGAGTAGCAGTGTAGGTTCCTTGAAGTACCTGTGTGGGGTCCTTGGAGTAGTTGTGTGGGAACCTTGGAGTAGCAGTGTAGGTTCCTTGGAGGAGCTTTGTGCGTTCCTTGGAGTAGCTGTGTGGGAACTTTGGAGTAGCTGTGTGGGATCCTTGGAGTAGCAGTGTAGGTTCCTTGGAGTAGCTGTATAGCATCCTTGTAGTAGCTGTGTGGGTTCCTTGTAGTAGCTGTGTGGGAACCTTATAGTAGCAGTGTGGGCTCCTTGGAATAGCAGTGTAGGATCCTTGGAGTAGCTGTGTGGGGTCCTTGGAGTAACTGTGTGGGAACCTTGGAGTAGCTGTGTGGGGTCCTTGGAGTAACTGTGTGGGAACCTTGGAGTAGCTGTGTGGGGTCCTTGGAGTAACTGTGTGGGAACCTTGGAGTAGCTGTGTGGGGTCCTTGGAGTAACTGTGTGGGAACCTTGGAGTAGCTGTGTGGGGTCCTTGGAGTAACTGTGTGGGAACCTTGGAGTAGCAGTGTAGGTTCCTTGGAGTAGCTGTGTGGGATCCTGTGAGGAGGCACAGCGGACGCCCCGTGTGGCGTTGCGGGGGGTGACGGGAGGCCCAGTCTACGTGAGGAGAGCACCTGGCCGGGGACGGGGGCAGAGTAAACCGTGAGTAAGGTGTGAGTAGAGCTCAGCCTCCTGCTTGCAACGTGCACGCTGTGCGCCAAGCCAGGGGGCAGCCCGTTTGGGGCAAAATCCCCCCAACCCTGCCACTGTATAGTGGCGTTTGCATTAAAATCTAAATTTTCATCAAAAACCTTTTGTTGTGTTGAAAACCCCATTTTTTTTTTATTTTTTTTATTTTTTTGGCCAAATTAGTGTATTTTTTTCCAGGGGTGTTTATACATTGACACCTTCCGAATGGATTTTTTTGGTGTGTTTCATTGGGATTATCCCCCCAGCTGCAATTCCGAATACTCCTTTTTCACCATGCAAAGTGGTCGTTTTCAACCCAAAAGCCCCCAAATCTGTTTATTTTTGGTTTGTGGTTTTATTGGTTGTTTTTTGTTGTTTTTTTTTTTACGAAAAGCCGAATTGCTTTTCGTAATTGGCCAAACTGACGGTTTTTCAGAGAAAAATGCATTTTGGCCTGGTGCCGGCAGCGCCGCGCTGTCGCCGGCAGCCGGCTCGCGGCGCCGCTTTGTGCTGCTTATTGTGTCTTTTTGGGTCACTTTGGGCAAAACATGGGTACCTTTGGGCAAAAAGGGGCTTTTTTTTTTTTTTTTTTTTCCTCCTTCTTGAATGAGCCCTCTGTGCACAGGCGGGGGGATGGGCTGGGGCCTTAAAAGCGCTGTATTTCACTAATTATTAACCAATTCTTGCCATAATTAACCCAGAAATGTGCTGCCTGACCCTGCAGGGCACTGGCCCTTTAAGAGCGGAAAAAAAGCGCAAATTTGGGGGGATAATAATTTTTTTTCCTTATTTGCTGCGGTTTTGGCAAAAATAGGAATATAGAGGGGTTTTGACATAGGCATTTTTGCGCGTTAATTTGTGAAATATGTGATTGAGGGAGGAATTAAGATCAGGTGAGGAGGGAGACGAGATAAATACTCAAAAATCAGCAGTTTTGGGGCAGGCGGTTTTGGGGTGATTTAGGGCAAATTGGGATGTGTATGGACCGTGTCGGACTAAAAATGCCATTTTTGCTGGGAAAATGGGTGAATTTGCCATAACTGGGGAGAAATTTTCTAATCTCTTTTTGTGCCTTTTTCCCCGGTTTTGACCTTTTTCCCCATTTTTGGCCTGTCCCCCCATTTTTGGCCCTTTTCCCTATTTTTTTCCCCTTTTTCCCAAGGGCGCCACTGTTCAGCTCTTTTCTCCCATTTTCCCCTTTTTTTTCTTCTTTCTCCCCCTTTTCTCCACTTTTCCCCCTTTTCCCCATTTTCCCCCTCATTCCCTCTTTTTTCTTACATTTTCTGTTTTCCCCCATTTCCCCCATTTTTTCCTTTTCCCCTCTTTTACCTTTTCCTCCTTTCCCTATTCCCAATTTTCTTGTCTTTCCTTTCTCCCCTTTTTCCCCATTTCCCCCTTTTCCTTCTTTTCCCACTTTCTCATTTTTTCCTTCCATTTCCCCTCTTCTACCCCCGTTTTCCCTTCCCCCACTTTTCCCCATTTTCCCCCTTTTTGCCCTTTTTCCCATTTTCTCCTTCTTTACCCCCTTTTTCTCCTCTTTTTTCCTGTTTTCCCCCTTTTTTTTCCCTACCCCCTTTCCCCTGCTTTTTTCCCCTTTCCCCCTTTTTTTCCTTTTCCCCTCTTCTCTCACATTTTTTCATATTTTTTCACATTTTTCACTTTTTTCACATTTTTTCCCTTCCCCCCCCCCTTTTCCCCCTATTTTCCACCTTTTGCCCCTCTTTTTCTCCCTATTCTCTCTCCTCTCCCCCATGCACCTTTTTTGGGGTAAAATAAGGCAAAATTGATCCAGCCCTGCGGGTGAGATTCAGCCACCCCTAATAGTGGCACAGAGGAGGGGGGTTTAGGGGGGTTCAGGGCCGTTTTGGGGTGTTTTGGTGCATTTTAGGGTATCGGGGTCATGGTTTGGGGTGGTTTCAGGCAATTTTGGGCTGTTTCAGGGCAATTTTGGGGGTTGTTTCCAGGTGTTTCAGGGCTGTGTTTTGGGGCAGCATTTCAGGGTATTCTGGGAGGTTTTGGGGAGTTTTGGGGGTCTCAGGGAATCACAGCTGGTTTTGGGGGTGTTTCTGGGTGGTTTGGGCGGTATTTCATTTGGGGATGTTCCAGGGCCATATTTTGGGGTGTTTCGGGGCAGTTTTGGGGTGTTTCAGGGCTGTTTCAAGGTGACATTTTGGGGCATTTCTGGGTGGATTTTTGGGGTGCTGTGACTGCATTTTGGGGTATTTCGGCATGTTCCAGGGCAGCATTTTGGGGAGTTTTGAGGCATTTTTGGTGTCGCAGAAGCGTTTTGGGGTGTCAGACAGTTGGGGGTTGTTTTGGAGCATCGAGGTGGCATTTTGGGATGTTTCTTTGGGGTATGAGGGCAGCTTTTTGAGGCATTTTAAGGTGTTTCTGGGCAATGTTTGAGGACAGCATTTTGGAGTCTTTCCCAGCGGCATTTTGGGGTATTTTGGGATGTCAGGGCAGTATTTTGGAGCTTTTTGGAGTGGTGTTTTGGGGACAGAATTTTGAGATGTTTCGGTCAGTGTTTTGGGGCATTTTGGAGCATTTTGGGCAGTGTTTCAGGATGTCATTTTGGGGGTATTTCTTGGTGTTCAAAGTTGCCATTTTAGGATGTTTTGGGGCATTTCAGTTTGGTTTTTTTTTTAGGGGGGCGGTGGTTTGGAGCATTTCAGGGTGGCATTTTGGAGCATTGTGACTTTTGGGGCCATTTTGGAGGTGTTTCAGGGTGGCATTTTGGGGCATTTTAGGGCATTTTGGGCCTTTGGGACCTTTCGGGGGCATTTTAGGGTGTTCCAGAGGAGCATTTTGAGGTGTTTTGGGGCCTCTCAGAGCATCTTGGGCCTTTGGGGCAGTGTTTTAGGATGACGTTTTGGGGTGTTTCTGGAGCTTTGACAGCATTTTTGGGATGTTTTGGGGCATTTCAGGGCATCATGGTGATGTTTTGGGGTGGTATTTCGAAGCATTTCAGGGTGGTCTTTTGGGGCACCTGAGGACGTGTTGGGACATTACAGTGGCCTTTTTGGGGGTATTTTGATGGCAACGGTTCAAAATGACATTTGGGGCCATCTCAACTGCTGGGGCAGCATTTTGGGGTACATCGGGGTATTTCAGGGCAGTATTTCATGATGGTATTTTGAGAAGCTGTGGGGTCTTCTAGGGCAGCATTTGGGGTCTTCTAGGGCAGCGTTTGGGGTCTTCTAGGGCAGCGTTTGGGGTGTTTTGGGATATTTCAGGCATCTCAGTGGTGGTGTGGGATTTTCCCAGGCGGTATTTGGGAACGCTTTGGGGTGTTTCTAGGGCTGCCTTTCGGGGTGCTTTGAGGCATTTCGGCACGCCGTTTTGGGATGGCTTTCTGGGAGGCAACTTTTTGGGATCGCCGCTCACCACCCACCTCCCTGCAGGGTCTGGGATGCTCTCACCGATGGCTTCGCCCCACGGGGCTCCCCCCGGCCCTGGCTGCTCCCCGGCCCCCCCTCCTTGGCTCCCCAAACCCTCCCCTGTCCCCGCATGACCCTCCCGGCAACGCTTGACGGCTGTCAATCGCCCCCAAGGCTCAGCGACCATCAGGGCACTGCAGACTACCCAAAAATGGTATTTTTGGGGTGCCGCAGCACCGCCACAGCGGGTGTCCGCATTTTAGGGTGAAATCACAGGGAAACAGGCAAGACGAAGCGTTTGGTTTGGCGACCTTGGTCTTTGCCAGTTTGCCCCCAAGCCACGGGTAAGGTGGTGTATTTTTTGGGTGGTAGAAAAGAGTGTTTTCGTCATTGAAGTGAGTTGAATACGTGAATAGTTGCGCTGGGGTTGGGGGAGGGCTGCAAAGATGGCCCCAAATCCACTGAATTTAACCCATTTGGATGTTACACAACGTGTCGCTGAAGGGGGAAGAGAAGGTAAATTCCTTGGGTGAAATAGACTGTGAAAGGTGGTAAAAAAGAAGATGCCTCCCCATCCAACGTCTCCATCCGTCACCTCCCCATCCAGCGTTCCCCTCTGACATCTCCCCATCTAACGTCCCCATCCAACGTCTCCACCTGACCTCGTCCCCATTCAGCTTCACCATCCCCAGCCAACATCCCCTTCATGTCCATCCAGCATCTCCAACGCATCCCCGTCCAGTGTCACCACCCAGTAATTCAAACATCTCTCTATCCAACATCTGCATCCAACATCTCCATCCAGTGTACCTGTGCTTCTCCCTGTCCAATTTCCCAGTCCAGTTTCTCCATCCAGCAACTCTCCATCCAGTGTCTCACATCCAGCATCTCTGTCTTCTTGCAACACCTCCCCATCCAATGCTTGCCTGTTGATCGTCTCCCTCTCCAATGTCTCCATCCAGCATCCCTATCCAAAGTCCCATCCAACATCCCTGTCCAACATTTCCCCATCCAACATCTCCATCCATCTCTATCCAGTGTCCCTATCCAATGTTCCCAACCAAAGTTTCCATCCAACGTCTCCACCCAATGCCTTCATCCAACATCTCCCCATCCAATTTCTCCCTGTCCAACGTCCCCACCTGATGTCTCCATCCGATGTCTCCCCATGCAACCCCCCACCATCATGCGTGTCCCCCCCGAGCTGTGGTTCCCTGGTGGCTCTCCCTGTGCCAGGGCCAGTGCCACGTCTGTGTCCGTGCTGGGACCATGCCTGTGCCGGGCCGTGCCTGCGGTGCCACCAAGGCCGCCCAGCCTGTGTCTCCTGCAGCTCTGCGAGAAGGAGGAGGAGGAGGAGGAGCTCACTGAGAGGAGTGAGCAAGACTCGGGCATCAACGAGGAGCCACTGTTGACAGCTGAGCAGGTACCCCTGACCCCGTGGGCACCTGAGCGCCTGTGTGTCCCCAAAAAGCCAGGATTTAGCCCCCCGGCATGGCCTCAGCCCACCCCAGCCCCATGGCCATGTGGTGAAAGCGCAAAAAAAAAAAGGCTAAATCCCGTGATCTTGGGATGCGGGCTGCAGGGCATGGGATGCAGATGTGGACGTAGACAGAGGTGCGGGTTGTGGGTGCCGGTGTGGGATTTGGGAGCAGATGGAGACGTGGGATGCGGGTGCTGGGTGCAAAGTGGGCTGAAGAGCCCCAGTGCTGGTGGGGCAGAGGCAGGATGCAGATGTGGGATGCGGGATGCAGATGTGGGGAAGGGGATGTGGATGCAGATGCAGGGTGTGGGTGAGGGCGCAGGTGCAAGTATGGGATCCAGGTGGATGATGCAGCATGAAAGGAGCGGGATGCAGCCATAGATGCAGGATGCAGATGTGGATGTAGATGCAGGTCCGGGGTGTGATTGCCCGTGGCGGTGTGGGATTTGGATGCATCTCCATCCGTCACCTCCCCATCCAGCGTTCCCCTCTGACATCTCCCCATCTAACGTCCCCATCCAACGTCTCCACCTGACCTCGTCCCCATTCAGCTTCACCATCCCCAGCCAACATCCCCTTCATGTCCATCCAGCATCTCCAACGCATCCCCATCCAGTGTCACCACCCAGTAATTCAAAGGCAGATGGGAACGTGGGGCGCGGATGCAGGGCGCAGCGTACAGATGGATGCAGATGCAGGTGGAGATGCAGGGTGAAGGGAGCAGGATGCAGGTGGAGGATGAAGGGGAAGATGGAGGATGGAGGATGCAGGTGGAGGACGAAGGATGCAGGTTGCAGATGTGGGTGCAGGACAGGGACGCAGTGTGCAGCTGTAGGATGTAGCTGTGGGCTGCAGGGTGGAGATGCAAGATGGAGGTGCAGATGGAGGACACTGGTGCCCTGCAGGTCATCGAGGAGCTGGAGGAGCTGATGCAGAGTTCGCCTGACCCCGAGGCCGACCCTGAGGGTGATGAGGATGAGGAAGAGGAGGAGGAGGAAACTGAGGCCGACGCTGAAGGCGACGGCAGTGGCGGGGGCACGGAGCCCATCCTTCTGCAGGAGCTGCGTGCTTTCTCCCCTGCCTTCAACAACAACTGCTCCCATGAAGGTATGGCCACCAAAACCCAGGCCAGGCACTCTTTGGGGACAATTCCGACCAAATCGGACCGTTGAGTCTCTCCAGGCTCGGGGCTGGCTTGCGCCGGTGCTTACACGCTGTTTGGCCAGGAGAGGGCTCTTGCCAAAAAAAATTAAGCCCAGGTGGATGTTGCTTTTAGCGTTGCTTCAAAGGCACCCGGGGCTCGGCCAAGCGCGCCAACGCGTTTTGCGAAATGCCCCGTGCCCCAACCCTTGCACTCGCCGCGTGTTGCCGAACGCCTGGCGCCTCTCCCCGAACCACTCGGCATTTTCTAACACCCGCTGGCGCCTGCCGCCGGATGCGCCGCGCGCTGCACCTCTCCCCTGATGGCACAGTGCATTTCGTTTACTGCGCCGTGGGCGTCGCTAATCGCAGCAGGCGCTGCTCTCGTTGCTCTGGGCGCGTCGCTTACGGCGCCGGGCATTTCGGTAGTTGCAGAATGTATTTATTTATTGGTGGTCCAATAAATGCACCCTGCATCTCGTTCATCACGGGATGCGTTTTAACGGTTTCGGTGTGCATTTCACTAATTGCACTGTGCAGTTCATTAATTGCCCTGGGAATTTTACCAAACGTAGCGTGTGTTCACTTGCAGCATGCATGTCACTAATTGCACAGGCGTATCGCTAATTCCCCTGGACGTGCCAGTAATCGCACTGTGCATATCACTAATTTGCATTGAGCACGTACCTAATTGCAGCCTGCACGTCACTAATTGCAGCCTGCATGTCACTAATTGCACAGGCGTATCGCTAATTCCCCTGGACGTGCCAGTAATCGCACTGTGCATATCACTAATTTGCATTGAGCACGTACCTAATTGCAGCCTGCACGTCACTAATTGCAGCCTGCATACCACTAATTGCAACCTGCGTACCACTCATTGCACCAGGCATGTTACTGGTTGCATCAGGTGGAGTCATGCGCACTGATTGCTCCAGGCATGTCGCTAATTCTTTCAGGTGTTATGCTAATTGCACCAGGCGTCAGACGCATCACTAATTGCACCGTGCACTTTACTAATTGCAGTAGGCATGCCACTAATTGCACCGGCTGTATCCATAGTCGCTCTGTGCGTTGCACTTACTGCGCTGGGCATTGCATTCAGAGCACCGGGCAGCACGCTAATTGCCCGCTGTGTCTTAATAATTGCAGCGTGCAGCTCGCTAATTACGTAACGCAGTTTTGCAAACTTCGGTGTGCATTTCACTAATTGCACCATCCATTTCACTTATTGCACCGGGCATTTCACTAATTGCACCACGGATATAGCTAATTGCACTGTGCCTTTCACTAATTGCACGGGGCATTTCACCAATTGCATTGTGCATTTCATTTATTGCATCATTCATTTCACTTATTACACCGGGCGTTTCACTAATTGCACCGGGCGTATGGCTAATTGCACTGTGCCTTTCACTAATTGCACTGTGCCTTTCACTAATTGCATTCTGCATTTCATTTATTGCACCATTCATTTCACTTATTACACCGGGCATTTCCCATGCGTATGCATAATTGCACCGTGCATATGACTAATTGTACTGTGCCTTTCACTAATTGCAGGGGGCATTTCATTAATTGCATTGTGCGTTTGATTTATTGCACCATTCATTTCACTTATTACACCGGGCATTTCACTAATTGCACCGGGCGTATGACTAATTGCACTGGGCCTTTCACTAATTGCATTGTGCATTTCACTTATTGCACCATTCATTTCACTAATTGCACCGGGCGTTTCACTAATTGCACCGGGCTTATGATTAATTGTACTGTGCATTTCACTAATTGCACCGGGCGTATAACTAATTGCACTGTGCCTTTCGCTAATTGCACTGTGCCTTTCACTAATTGCATTGTGCATTTCACTTATTGCACCATTCATTTCACTTATTACACCGGGCATTTCACTAATTGCACCGGGCGTATGACTAATTGCACTGTGCCTTCCACTAATTGCACGGGGCATTTCACTAATTGCGTTGCGCATTTCATTTACTGCACCACCCATTTCACTTATTACACCGGGCGTTTCGCTAATTGCCCCGGCCATCGCATTTATTGCCCCGGGCGTTGCACTTGTAGCACCGGGCATCTCATTTAGGCTATTAATCGCCCCGCGCGTCTTAATAATGGCACCGTCCGCCTCTGCCGGCGGCGCGGT